TATATATATATATATATATATATATATATATATATATATATATATATATATATGACATATTCCTCTGTGTACCACTAGAAGGATGCCCACGTATCACTAGTGGTACTCGTACCACAGTTTGAGAACCACTGCTGTAAAAGGACCTTATGAAACTGAAAATAGTCTTATCAATCTTTTACCAGAAGATTTTAGAGGCTGAACAACACTTCTGTGAAGATATAACCCATTTGTAACAACGACGTCTGTTTTGAGTGATGCTAAAATAGTTTTAAAACCAAACATTACCTGTCTCAGAGAAATCCTTCAGCCATGGTGCCGAGCTTTCTCCAGTGTGCAAAGGTAACTTCAATATTAATTCAGGCTTTTAAAAAGATATATATATATATATATATATATATATATATATATATATATATATATATATATATATATATATATATATATATATATATATATATATATATATATCTCTCTCTCACACGCGCGCGCGCGCGCGCGCGCGCGCGCGCGCAAAAAGACAGAGTGTGTGTGTCTGTATATATCTATATGTATCTCTATCTATATCTGTCTGTGTATGTCTGTGTGTGTATATCTATCTCTGTGTCTCTCTCTCTCTCTCTCTCTGTAATGTGTATGTATGTATATATATATGTTTTTGTTTTTCGTCGGCGCGCCCCCGCGAGCGAGCGGGAGAGAGACACAAATACACACACACACACACACACGCCTNCTCTTCNTATANACACATTCNNCCACAAATTGTATGTATATATATATATATATATATATATATATATATATATATATATAATTTTTTTTTTGTTCTGCGAACTACTGATGTCATTATATCTAATTTAATTTTCTTACAAAACATTTATTTACAGATTCCATTCATTCAATCATTTTATTTTTAGATTAGTGCCTTTATTAATCTAGGATCGCCACAGTGGAATGAACCACCAACTAATCCAGCATAAGTTTTACACAGCGGATGCCCTTCCAACTGCAACCCATCACTGGGAAACACCCATACACTTCCATTCACACATATACATACATGATGATTTAGCTTACCCAATTCTTAATTAACAGATTTACTTATGCTTATTAAAACAACTCAATATTAATGCTTTAACCTCATAAGAGTTGAGAAAAACGCTCTAAAATGCAGCATTTTTACTTTATATTCAGAAATGTAGTTAAACAAACCTTAAATACATCTCTGTATACAAACACACAATGTTAACGCTTGATTCACTTTAGTTTTACACAGAACTGATGAGTGCTTTTATAAAATATAAAGAAATATTGTTATCTTAGTCTGCACTTGATTCAGGATCGTTGGTGACAAGAATTTAGTATAAAACGGACAATAAATCATTACGATGACTATTTCAATCTAAATAAACAGATTATGACGCTCTTAACTTACCTTTAATTTTAATATATGCCTGCTGTGTTTCGTGAACACTCTTCTGTGATGAAATATGCGAGGATTTATTCAGGAAATGTCTAATTTGAGAAAATAATAATACTCTTTTTAAACTCCCTCCACCGCTGCCGCGCAGTCGCACTTCCGGGTAAACGTGACGTTGATGCGCATGCCCTCTGATGCGCGTAGAGAGAAGGCTAGAAGCTTTGAGGAAGGTAAAGTCTAAAAGGGATACAACTGCAGATACTCACAAAGCATGATTTTTGTGACAATCTACAACAATAATTAATATTTTTACATTACTGTTGAGGGGTTGGGGTAGGCATTGATAAAACACAATTTAATGGGTAATTTAATAAATAATATGAATATCACTCAGTTATTTTTAAAGCTGTAGTTGGTAAATTACCATATTATATATATATATATATATATATATATATATATATATATATATATATATATATATATATATATATATATATATATATATATATATATCTTTTTAAAAGCCTGAATTAATATTGAAGTTACCTTTGCACACTGGAGAAAGCTCGGCACCATGGCTGAAGGATTTCTCTGAGACAGGTAATGTTTGGTTTTAAAACTATTTTAGCATCACTCAAAACAGACGTCGTTGTTACAAATGGGTTATATCTTCACAGAAGTGTTGTTCAGCCTCTAAAATCTTCTGGTAAAAGATTGATAAGACTATTTTCAGTTTCATAAGGTCCTTTTACAGCAGTGGTTCTCAAACTGTGGTACGAGTACCACTAGTGATACGTGGGCATCCTTCTAGTGGTACACAGAGGAATATGTCATATATATATATATATATATATATATATATATATATATATATATATATATATATACATGCTAAATATATTTAAAAATGTATCACAAATGATTTATAAATGAATATGATGACTGTATTTATGAGGTCCAATTACACACTACTTAATACAGACCGGAGGTTCAGCAATTTGCAAAATCTTTACAGATGAAAAAGAATTAAAATTATAAGGATATATAGTCTAGGATACAATAAGGATATATATATAGGATTTAAATATAAAGGATTAAAATATTACAAACCAAATTATTTTTAGCCTACATAAATATAAAACCCATACTTTCATGTCTTCTTCATCTCCGGGGGCTTTTTCAGTTTATTCATGACAGTTTGCTTTTGTATAATGTTATCATTCTTCTTCTTCTTTGGCCTTAGTCCCGTAGGGTTGTGGGGTCGGCTTTTGGAACAAGCCATTTTAGACTTGTCCATATGATAACTTTTTTTTTTTTTTTTTTACACATTCCGGTCGGCCTGTCAACCTCATACACTCATACACTATGGACAATTTAGCCTACCCAATTCACCTGCAGCATGTGTTTGGACTGTGGGGGAAACCGGAGCACCCGGAGGAATTCCACGCCAATATGGGGAGAACATGCAAACTCCACACAGAAAAGCCAACTGAGCCGAGGTTCGAACCAGCGACCTTCTTGCTGTGAGGCAACAGCACTACCTACTGCGCCACTGCTTCGCTCGTATAATGTTATCGTTAACAGCGTTATTAGCATTATTATTTACTATATGCAGATTTAAATTTGTTTTATTAAAAACAATTTAAGATTTGTTCACCTGTCAGGTTTTAGGCCATATGATTAGGCCATTAGGATATAACTCAGTTTTCTGAACACACTTCGTTATTATTGTTCATTAATTTGTTTGATGGAAAATTAGAACTGAATTTAGAAATAGTTTTGAAACAAATCTTTGTGCTTAACAAGCAAATTTAATTATTTATAGGCTAATTGATGTCTCAATGAAAGCGCTCAATGGAATGCGCTCAGTTTTTCCACTTACAAAGTCCGTCATGTAAATAGCAAATACGCCATGGCGTGACAACTCACTCTTAAAGGGAATGGGAGGTGAGACTCTGATTGGTTTATTCATAAAACACACCTATAACTCATTAAGAGAAAAAGCTCAACCCTGTTAGACCATGCGCCACGGAGCAAAGCAGATTTTTCTGTCCTTAAATTAGCAAAAGTGGATTCAAACAATGCTCTTAATGCGTTTGCGCCCTGCGCTTTGTACTTTGCTCATAGATCGTCAAAATAGAGCCCTTAGTTTGTTTAGAGCAGAAAATCCCAACATTCAGAAAGCTATGATAAATAATCTGATGGGTGTTTTGAGCTGAAACTTTCTGGAGACACAGAAGACTTATCGTACATCAAAAGGGTAAAGTGGGTGCCCTTTAAAACTTGATTAATGTGTTTAGAAACTTATTATAAGACCACATTAAAGTGTGAATAAATGTGATATCAGTGTATTTAGTCGATTTAGAAACACCGGTCCTTGTACTGATGACATAACTATTCAGTTGTTGATTATCCGACAAGATGTTTCCCAACAACATGTAATTAAAACCAAGCCTAAAACAAATGCACATATTTTGTAAGACGCTCATCAAATTTTTATTATGTTTCTGCAGTGAAATGCTCAGACAGCCGGGCTAGTGAGAGTTATTTATTAGAGCAGTCATCGTTACAGATCAGATCATTATTCACTAGCAGACAGGAAGAGCCAGTTACCTAACCTAAACTAGTCTTTCCATCCGCCAGGGGTAGTTTAGGAGTAACCATGGCAACATTAAAAAAAAGACTTGTTAACCTAGAAGTGAGCAGTGCTTTCAAACCCCCACACACACACACACACACTGACAACACACACACACACTGACAGTAATAAATAAGAACTATTTAGGGTGTCATAAATCAATTAACGTTATTTAATTACCTCTTAATTAGAGCAGCGCTATCATTCATTACTGCGGTTTTTAAGGCACTAACTGGTCAATACTGCACACACTTCCGTCTTCCCTTCCCTTTTTCTGGGCTATTTTCTGATTGAACTACGTCTCCCATAATGCACTGCGGGGCCAGTGTCATGTGTCGGGGCTCAGTCTCGGTCCTTGAGGGCTCGGAGGATGTAGTTTTCTCTCTCTAGCTGAGCGTTTCTCTCCGAGAGCTCTTTGATCTGTTCTCTCAGCACCTCTACCTCCTCTCGCACCGCCAGCATCAGGTGAGACTTCACCAGGTCCTACACACACACACACACACACACACACACACACACACACACACACACACACACACACACACACACACACACACACACACACACACACACAGTGATTTATCCTGCAGTGAAAGTTTATATCTGATTTGGGGGCAGGGTTTTATTTGAATATGATGATGTACTTCCAACTGAAACAGAATATTGAGTAGAGGGCGGAGTTTCATGGTGACAACGCATTTACAACTGAAATAGAATATTGAGCAGGGGCGGGGTTTTATTTTACTATAATGATATACTTACAACTGAAACTGAATATTGAGTATAAGGCGGGGTTTATGATGATGATGTATTCCCAACTAAATATTAAATATTGAGCAGGGGCGGGGTTGTATTTCAGTATGATGATGTACTTCTAACTGAAATTGAATATTGAGTAGGAGGCGGGGTTGATGATAATGATGCATTTCCAACTGAAAATAGATATTAAGTAGATTAATTAAGTAATTAATTAAGTAGTATTAATTTCAGTATGATAATGAATTTTCATATAAAATGGAATATTTAGTAGGGGGCGGAGTTTCATGATGAAGTTGTATTTCTAACTGAAATAGAGTATTGAGTAGAGGACGGTGTATTATTTTAGTGTGATGATGAATTTTCATCAGTAGGGGCGGAGTTTCATGATAACGTATTTCAGACTGAAATAAAATATTGAGCAGGGACGGGGTTTTATTTCAGTATAATGATGTACTTACAACTGAAATTGAATATTAAGTAGGAGGCGGGGTTTATGATCATTATTTACTTTAAACTGAAATGGAATATTAAGTAGGGGCGGGTTTTTTGTGAGGACAATGTTCCTCCAATTGAATTTTAATATTGAGTAGGAGGCGGGGTTTATGATAATAATAATAATAATATTGAGTAGAGGACGGGGTTTTATTTTAGTGTGATGATGTATTTTCATCAGTAGGGGGCGGAGTTTCATGATTACATATTTCCAACTGAAATAGAATATTGAGTAGGAGGCGGGGTTTATGATAATGATGTATTTCCAACTGAAATTAAATATTTAGTAGAGGGCGGAGTTTAATTTCAGTATGATAATGAATTTTCATTTAAAATGGAATATTGAGTAGGGGGTGGAGTTTCATGATAAAGTTATATTTCTAACTGAAATAGAGTATTGAGTAGAGGACGGGGTTTTATTTTAGTGTGATGATGAATTTTCATCAGTAGGGGGTGGAGTTTAATGATAACGTATTTACAACTAAAATGGAATATTAAGTAGGGGCGGGTTTTTGTGAGGATAATGTTCCTCCAACTGAAATTGAATATTGAGTAGGAGGCGGGATTTATGATAAAGATGTATTTCCAACTGAAATTAAATATTGAGTAGAGGGTGGAGTTTAATTTCAGTATGATGATGAATTTTTATATAAAATGGAATATTGAGTAGGGGGCGGAGTTTCATGATAAAGATGTATTTACAACTGAAATAGAATATTGAGTAGAGGACGGGGTTTTATTTTAGTGTAGTGATGTATTTTCATCAGTTGGGGGCGGAGTTTCATGATAACGTATTTACAACTGAAATAGAATATTGAGTAGGAGGCGGGGTTTATGATAATGATGTATTTCCAACTGAAATTAAATATTGAGTAGAGGGCGGAGTTTAATTTCAGTATGATAATGATTTTTCATTTATAATGGAATATTGAGTAGGGGGTGGAGTTTCATCATAAAGTTGTATTTCTAACTGAAATAGAGTATTGAGTAGAGGACGGTGTATTATTTTAGTGTGATGATGAATTTTCATCAGTTGGGGGCGGAGTTTCATGATAACGTATTTCAGACTGAAATAAAATATTGAGCAGGGACGGGGTTTTATTACAGTATAATGATGTACTTACAACTGAAATTGAATATTAAGTAGGAGGCGGGGTTTATGATCATTATTTACTTCAAACTGAAATGGAATATTAAGTAGGGGCGGGTTTTTGTGAGGATAACGCTCTTCCAACTGAATTTGAATATTGAAACGGGGTGGGGTTTTATTTCACTATAATTATGCACTTACAACAAAAATTGAATATTGAGTTGGAGGCGAGGTTTATGATCATGTATTTCAAAACTGAAATGGAATATTGAGTAGGGGCTGGGTTTAGGATGATGATGTGCTTAGAACTGAAATGGATTATTGGGTACTGGGCGGGTTTTATTTTAGTATGATGATGTATTTCTAACTAAAATAAAATATTTTCCATCCTATTAGATGGCATTTCTTTAAATGATCAGTCCAGGAGATGGTGCTGATGGACAACAGTATTAGTTCAAAAAGGATGAAAGCAGGTAAAATAGATTAAAACTATCGTTTCAAAGCTGTCCAAATGTGACATGGGTAATTTTGCGTTTCAAGAAAAAGGTCTATAATAATGATGTATTACCAGTTTAAATAGAATTTTGAGCAGGAGGCGGGGCTTCATTTAAGCATGATGATGTATTACCAACTGAAATGGAATACTGAGTACAGGGCGGGGTTTAGGATGATGTGCTGCCAAGTGAATTTGAATATTGAGTAGGGGGTGGGGTTTTATTTCAGTCTGATGATGTATTTCCAACTAAAATGAAGTATTAAGTAAGAGGCGGGGTTTATGATGATGATGTACTTCCAACTGAAATGATGTATTATGTAGAAGGTGGGGTTTATTTAAGTATATTAAATATCCTGTTTATTGCAGTATGACAATACAGATCCAGTTGAAGTGGAATATTAAGTGTGTGTGTGTGTGAGGGGGGGGGGGGGGGTTATGTCAGTACAATGATGAATTTCTAATTAAAATAAAGTAGTGAGTAGAAGGTGTTTATGATTATGATGTTTTTCCAACTGAAACAGAATATAGAGTAGGGGCGCAGTTTCATGACGGTGATGTATTTCCAACTGAAATGGAATATTAAGGAGGGGTGGGGGTTTTATTTAAATTTAATGAATATCTTATTTTGAATTTCCTCTTTTGATATTAAATATCCTGTTTATTGTCTCATAATACACTTCCAGTTGAAGTGGAATATTGAGTAGGGTGCGGGGTTATATGTCAGTAAAATCATGTATTTCCTACTGAAATGGAATATTAAGAAGGGGCGGGGTTTCATTTCAGTATGATGATGTATTTGCATTTGAAATTGAATATCGAGCAGAGGGCAGTTTTTTTCAGTATAATGATGTACTTACAACTGAAATCGAATATTAGTGTGAGGCGGGGTTTATGATGATGTGTTTCCAATTTAATTGGAATATGGAGTAGGGGGTGGGGTTTTATTTCAATAGGATGATGTACTTCCAAGTAAAAATGGAATATTGAGTGGGGGGCGGGGTTTATGATCTTTTTAACCCCACCTCTACTAACATTTGGAGGGGCGTGGCTAAGCATATTTCACCCAATCATTAGTCATTAGAAAAAGACTGCTGTTCCAAAAATTGAAAAGCTGGTAAAGATTACCAAAACCAACTGTTTCCAGCAGATTAACATGCACAGATTAGTTATTCACTAGCAATGTGTGTAAGAAAAACAGATATTGTTCATTTAATTTCATTCAGACTTGTGATATGTTCTGCTATAGTGGCGGATCTCACTCACCATGGCTTGCTCGATCTTGTTATCGATGGCGATCATACTGCTGTTCGATCCACTGTGACAGAGACAGAGATCGACATATATTACATTACATAAGAACAACAATTCCTTTTTAGTTTAATGCAGTACAAACATATATATGCATACATACACAGCTATAGAACACACACACACACATCACACATCACTTGAAAATGTTGAGCTTCACTGAATGTATTAGCCATGGGTTTGAGTAAAATGTTATTTGTCTAATAATAAACTAAACAATATTTTATTAATATTTAAAGCAAATGTTTTTCATAAAATGAATGTGCATCTTGGCCTTTAAGACATTATAATGCAATATTTGAAAATGTGAATGAATATAGGTGCATGGAAACCCACAGCGGGTGATATGTGGAGCACTAGCGCTGCTGGATGTTCTTTACTCTGCTCTTATAATCCCGATGCTTGACCTGAATGAGGTCTTCATGAGCAGCTCTGAGAAAGGCGGTGTGTGTGTGTGTGTGTGTGTGTGTGTGTGTGTGTGTGTGTGTGTGTAACACTGATGCTATTGTTCTGAGAGCGGCTGCAGCACATGGTTCTCATAACCTTGATGGAAACAGAAAACCGCACACTCAAGGGCCACGCTCTCAACAA